CACTTAGAATTCCTGGCACCGAGTAAATTATGGCTAACATAATAGGTGCCATCACAAGATTAAAAGGCGGTGGCATTTTAATTCCCAGCCAGGCCCGCCTGCGAAGGGTAAAGGCCCCCAACCCCGAGGCTTCCTCTTCGTCGTCACTTCTGATGGATTCCACGTTGGCTGAAAAAATGGGATAAAACTCCTTAATTCACATGGACTCAGCTTCCTGACGATGACACGGACTAAGAGCAGCCTGCGGGACGGGGAAGGCCACGGGCCAGTCCCAGAGCGGTCGCCCTCTCTGGGGGGTGTCTCTTTCTCTGGACGTCAGGCATAGTTCTGACAAGTTAAGTAACAAAACGTTGGGGGTTGGGGGATGGCAGTGCTGCCTGACAGGACACTTTGCGAAGACCCGAAGGCCCGGGGTCAGCCCTGGTTTCCGGAGCTGACAGGCACTCGGTGGCTCTGACCGTGAGGGACACAAGGAAGGTACCGGTGCCTGTCCAGGGGCAAGGACCCACAGGCCCACAGACTGGCTGTGGGGAGGCGCCCCTGGGCTTTGGGGTGCCCCTCGTCACCCTCAGGGATTGGAGGGGAGGTCACTTCCAAGACCCCTTGATGATGCTTTAAAATGACGCTTGTTGACGGATCTTATAACTTAAGTGACAGTTTATGACAGGTCCTAAGTCAAAAGAAATAGCCAGTGAAGCAAGATATTTTTTAAAAACAAGTGTCCCCATGATGGCACCATCCAATATGGTAGCCACCGACGACATGTGGCTATCAAAACTTAAATTTAAATTCATTACAAACAAAAAACAAAAAACAAAACCAGCTCTTCAGCGGCCCCACCCGCTTTTAAGTGCCCAGCAGGCAAGCGTGGTAGGTGGCCGCTCTGCTGGACGTTGTGACTCCAGACCCTCCCCACCACCTCAGAAAGCCCGACCAGGCAGCGCTGGTCCCGAGCAATGCGCACTCGGGCGCTGTGGCCTTTGACCAGAGATGCCATCGGTGGGTGAAGGGGGACAGTGCTCACTGCAGGGTTATTGCCAGGTTGTGGCAGGCTGAAGAACAGCCCCCGAATACGGGGTCTTGCCCCCCGGAGCCTGTTAATATCACCTTATATGGAAAAAGGCTCCTCCCAAATGCGATTAAATTAAGGACCGTGAGACAGAGATTATCCCGGATTATGACGGCCCTAAATGCCGTCACAAGTGTCCGCATGAGAGAAGTACAGAGGGACACGTGATACACACAGAAGGCAGGGGGGAGGCCATTTGACCACAGAGGTAGATTTTGGACTGATGTGGCCATAAGCCAAGGATCACCGCCGGCCTCCAGGAGCCCGAAGAGGCGAGGACCCGTCTCTCCTCTAGAGCTCGTTGGGGGGCTGCCGTCCTGCTGACACCCTGATTCCAGAACTGTGAGAAAATGAACCTCCACTGGTGTGAGCCACCAAGTTTGTGGTTATTTGTTACGGCAGCCACAGCAAACCGATCCAAGGGTTACGTTAGCTACTGTGTAAAGCACTTAGAATTCCTGGCACCGAGTAGGTGCTCAATAAATGTTAGCTATTATTGTTGTTTTAAATTAATGCGCCCCTAACGTATCCAATCGCCACATGGTCCTAATTCTGAGGGAGGCCGCGCTGAGCTCTGGGCAATGAGTCCCGCCTCCGAGGCAGGGGTCCAGGCGTATCAGAGGGACCAACGTCAAGGGGAGGACATTGGTGCCTGAAGGACAAATGAAGCTCCCGCAACTGAAATCGCATTTCTAAGGCTGCAATATTTGCCAAAAGTAGCTATTTCAAACAGTTCACCTTTCTATAGGACAATAAACACAAGTGTCACACTCTCCAGAAGATGCTAGGCCCCGGGAGCATAAGTGTGAAGCACAGGGAAACAGGAGGGTGTAAAGGTGACACTCGCTGACAGCCTGGTGTCCCTTTGAGACATGAGAGTGTGACTACTGGACGGGCAGGAAGTCGTAGCTACGTCTCCACCATGACTATACATCCAAGAATGTCCCAGAGACTCAACGGAAAAACCATTAGAACTAACTCGAGAGTTTGGTTAGGTAACGGCGCAAATTATATAAAAGTATACACTTAATAATAACAGAGAAAGACATTTGGAGAAAGTCTTATTTAAAAGAAGAAAAATACTTATAAAATTCATAAGCTCAGCAAAAAGCTCGAAGGCCCGTCTTTTACTTGCGTGCTCATTCAGTCCCCATGGCTGCAGGGGCTGTTACTGTCTCTCGCAGGTGGCCTGGACAAGGCTCGGAGCAGGGGGCCCGGGGCCCGGGGCCCAGGGCCAGCCAGGGTGCGGCCAGCAGCAGCAGCAACTGGGCAGTGGGTTCTTAATAACCGTTTTATTTCTCTCCTGTTTTTTTTTTTTTTCCTCTCTTTCTAGCATTCTTACAGGCCAGTTAAAAAATAAAAGGCCAGCGACAACTGGGAAGAAATTTCTGCAATAATATGTCAAAAAAGCTTTAGTATCAGTAACATATCCCAGTAACATTTTGGAGATCACTTCAAAAAAGACATTACAAAGGGAAGCAGATAAATGACAGGGCAGTCCCCAGAAGAAATGCTATTGACAAAAATACAAAAGATTCTTCCACCCCCCCCACACACATTAATAAAATAAATACAAATTAAAAGATTGTTAAGATAGAATTTTTCTCTTGTGAATATGACAAAAGCTAAATTCGTTAACTAGTGCTTCCATGCGATAGAATGTTAAGTGACCATTAAAAACCTCTTTTGGAAAATATTTTCAGGACATGGGAAAATCCAATGTTAAATTTTTAAAAATTTGAGAAAGGATACATAAAAATGTAATCAAAATATATATGATAAAAAAGACCGAAATAAAATTTAGCAAAAAATTTAATAATAGTTATCTCTGTATACTAAAATTATAACTTTAATTGTCTTCTTTAAACTCCTCTATCTTACAAATTTTCTATAATGAGCAAATGTTACCTTTAACATCAGGAAGAAAACAATTCCTTTAAAATAATTAAAAATTGGCTTAAAGAAAAACAAATCCTAAAGAAAACAAAACAAAAATAAAACCCCAAAACCTACTATAACTCCTTTTGGTAACTGTAAGTATTAATTAAATAATGAGCTAAGAATAAGCATTCTAACTGTGGGAGTGTATGTGAATCATAACTTCTAGAAATTTCTTAAGTTGTTATTTTAATTAAATAACGAGCTAAGAATAAGCATTCTAACTGTGGGAGTATATGTGAATCATAACTTCTAGAAATTTCTTAAGTTGTCATTGTGTGCCCTCCTGGAATTTAGCCTGAGGACTGCTCATATTTCATGTTTCAAAAGACAATATTTGCTTTTTATTTGTCTTTGATTTAAAAAAGCAAAAACAACAACGAGAAAAGGATTTTTATCAAAGTCGATCAGATAAACGTAACCCAATTATGAGGATAAAGTCGCCCTCGACCTTTCGCTACTTCATAAAGAGGAAGCGCCACGTCTCCGTGACTCACATGCAGCGGGCCCGTGGGAGCCTCTCTGACTGGGCCTGGAACTGGCAGGTCACAGCCCCAGGGACTGGCCAGCCGGGGCGGGTCTTCAAAGGGAACCGTGGGGGCGCGGAGGGGGAGGGGCGCTCCCCGGTGACACCAGGGCCCGCAGAGGTCTCCCATGACCCCCACCCCCACCCCCAGCACCTCTGGTGGGCAACTCCCACGTCTCCCTAGTCCACAACGAAAAGACGATTTCCCAGAGTGCCAAGCGGGTGTTACATTGGTCTACTTTTTAAAATTTTGGGTGTTTTAAAATGTTTATTTTGGACGATCCCCCATTCATTGCTTGTCTTTCTTCTAAAATATTTTTAACTAGGCTTTTTACTATAGGAATAATACTTATTGGGGGGAAAAAAAAGACTTGGAAAGTACGGAAGAGTATAAATGAAAGGTGACGTCCCTGGTCTAGGTGGCAGACATAGCTGTGTGTTTCCAGTGTCCCTTCCAGAGATTTTCCAGGCACACAGAAACATATAAAGAGTCAGACATGTGTATAAATACATAGGTACATACGCATGCGTATGTATGTATATATTTGAGATTTTAATTGTACACAGAGCTTTCAACTTAGTTTTGTCACTTAAACATAAACTGGATCTTAACATGTAAGAATCCTGTCGCTTAGAGAAAATACATCTGTGGACACCTGTTCTCTGAAGTGCTGTGGACAGGGAGGAAACTTCCGGATAATAAAAGCTCATGAACCCAGTTAATCCTCATTAACTGTGAAAATCAAGGTTTTCATTATAACCGACGCAATTTAATCAGAAGACAGGTCACTGGAAACATGTCTTTCTACCTAAATTCTCCCGATCACGCAAAACCATCCCGAGTCTGTGTCCTCCAGACACGATAGTAATCGGACGAGGAGGATGGGCGGCCATGCCAGGAGCTGGCTCGATTCTCGCAAACGCGCGGGGTTTGGGCACCGCTGTTTACAGCACCCCGCATCGCGTCTGAACGGACTTGTCATTTGTGTTGGGGAGGCGGCACATGAACGAGGACATGGTCACGATAAAGTAGAGTGATAATGGCCGAGGCACACAGGCACGAACTCTGCGTTTCCTGGCATCCTCGTGAAGTGCTATGAGTCGTGTCCTCTGTCGAGCTGAGAAAACTGACCCATGAGACATTAAACCACTTGCTCAAGGCCACACGGCTATTTCTCGGGAAGCCAGCCTCCAGTCCGTGTCCTTCATCGTCATGCAAACGGCCTGGAGGAGGACCGGGGAGGCCCGCTGTTCAATTTCAGGGGGGTCAGAGATGCATTATATGGACCACATTTTTCAAAGAGGTATCAGTGATTTCATCACAAAAAATTAGGTCCTGAATTCTTGGCCCCGACATTTCACTTTTCTAAAATGAAGCCGGAAAGCCTCGTGAGTCCGTAGGGATGAGCTTCCGGGCGCGCACACACACAGGGGGCTGGGGGGGCACCTGCACGCATGCGCGCTCACCTGCACTCGATGAACCAGTGCCGGATCTGGTCCTGCAGGTTCTCCTTCATGTCTGGGCCTTCCACCACCTTGAGGTCTCCCTTGATGGTAACCATGGCTTCTTTGTAGTCTTCCTCGTGCTTTATCTGCACCTCGTTCCGCAGGCAGGTCACCTTTTCAGCCTGGATTATCGTGGCACTGACTTCATCGAACAGAGGAGGTGGATTCTGGAAAGATGAACCCAAAGGTTAGAGGTTACAAAGGACATGCAGCTGGTGAAAAACAGTAAGCGCTAATGAATTACGTTGCCATCTTCCTTGGAGTCTTACCAAAGGCGGGTAAGAACCTCATGAAGAACACAAGAATCAGGAAAATCTGAAAATGTGACTCACCACAACAGCGGGGGGTGCGGGGAGGGGAAGACGGGGTTCACTCCACACCGTTTCCCAGAATCTGGGCGGTAGGGGTGTGTAAGTTTGCTTGAAAAATGCATTTTCAGTAAACCTTTAAAAAAGATCAGACAGAAAGTAAACCTTTCCCCAACATTCTTGGTTAGTGGGAGGACAAAGACTATAAAGTAAGAAAGTATTTGAAGCAAGTTAAGAGCTGGTGAAAAGTTCAAGTGCTCTTGTTTCAAGAAAGACGACACCCAAATCAGCTCTGCAAACATCTATTGTTAAAGACTCTGAAGAAGGAAATGCACAGCTGACTCGAGGCAGTCGCTGTGAGATCTGTCTTATCGTTAGGGTGATCGCCCTCAAAATCCGCAGATCGGCACGTCGGCAAATGTCTGGCCGTCGACTGCCAACCGACTGCATCAGGCAAGCGAAAACATGAAATAATGTTGAGTCGGAATTCCTTTTCTTTAAAATCCCCAAGAAATGCAGCTGGGAAAGAGAAATGCACGACAGAGCAGGGAACAATGTCAGATCGTCTATAAAAGTGCTACGTTGTGGGTTCGGACGGAAAGAACTAATAGGGGCTTGGAGAGAGGAAACGCGAATGTGGCTGGCGGTGCTGGGAATCACAGCTTTGCGAGCGGGAAGACAGTTCCCCGTCACAGGAAGGGGTGACAGTTCCCCGTCACAGGAAGGGGTGACAGTCCCCCGTCACAGGTAGGAATCCTGAGCTCCAGGGAGCGCAGGGATTCAGCCCGGGTCATCTAGTAAATAAATAAAAGGCAAATTCAGCGGATTTTTATGAGCTGGACTCAGCCCATAATGACTTATGAGAGCCAACTGATAAATTTTCAGGAATGGCGCGAGCTGGTTTTTAAACACAGCCGTCTTAGAATGCTAAACTATATAAACTTATAATTAAATTATAAGAAAACTAAAGATGATCGATACGAAAAGCTCACCGCTTCCCAGCTGTTTTTACTGGAAGTTACTATCACCTGTACTCCTGACATCGCGTGAGTCTGGTGTATCTCAGCGTTGAAAATGTCATGTGATGGTGTGCGACTGTGTGTATCTTCCCAACTGTGTTTACTCAGGGTAGTAGCTTGAAGTTGGCTGCAGTGGGAATGTTTACACCATGCACATGAGCAAATGCTGTAAGTCAGGGCTCCATGTATTGTTGGGGTTTGACTGTATAGACTTAAGGAAGTGGCAGAAAATAATGCAGATAAACATAAAAATGTGCTATGTCTCTATCAGTTACATTGTGACTAGCACAAAACATTGAGGAAATATTCTAGTATTAAAAGCTGTAACTGATTCAGCAAAGGACTGCCCGGCCTTAGAAAATGATGACTGAGTGACGTCCTGGCGTACACTTTCCATCCTATTCAATAATGCAAATGAAAATATCGATCAATACTCATATGAGAACTACATTGATTTATCGTTGCAACCACAGGCTGACGACAGATACAAGAGTTCAGTAAAACTCAAGGAAAGTGTTTTGTGAGAATCGACGGGCTACGTGAAATTTGCAACAGAGTATTGCCTATTTCGTGATTTGTAAATTGTGTGTACACATTTTTACATCAATGAAATGATATATACATACATTTTCCCTCGAGCCAGCCAGGGTTCAGCATCACCAGCACAGCACTGGGCACTGACTCCCTTAACGCCTCGTTCCCTCCTCCTTATGCCGGGAGCAGCGTTGGGCTCTGAAGATTGAATGGGACCCTCTCCGTAAAGCCCTGTGTGAGGCCTGGCACCGAGCGAGAGCTCAGAGCACCCCTGCTGTGGTGGCCAGCGTGATGGCACCAGCTGCATCGACACGGAGCGGGACGGAGCCCAGGAATGGCAGGGAGCTGCCTTGTGCAGAAAATTCCAAGGATAAGAGGAGAGCATTGAAGTCTATTTCAAAAGCTGCGAAACAAGTATATGACAAAACTCAAGGCCTTATTTACAAAAGACATTGGCAAAACTCTGAATTTAAATCGATTGCTTGGAATAAAAAGATCATCTGACTCAATTCATGTCGTATGCTAAAATAAGTTCCAAATGGACGAAGCAGTGAAATGTAACAAGCATGTCACACACACACACACACACACACACACGATCTCCAAGAAACACCTAGGAAACTCTGGGAGTGATTTCTCAACTTGAATCCACAATCCAGATGCTGTTAGAAGGCAGCGCCCACTTAACGACGTAAAGTCAAATGAAGAAGATGAAAAGAAAATCAGACATGATGGTTTTACACGCGCATCAGAAAGACCAAGAAACGAGCCAACTGCCCCAGTTCAGGACAAAGAGACCACATGACTTTTATGTTAGGGAAAAACCCCCCGAAAACTCCTTTAAAAGCGAATCTAGAATGAGAACTGTAGAATGACTTTCAAGAGCGACATTAAAGACGAACTCTGAGTCGCCTGGCCAGTTACCACGTTCCTGGCTGGAAACCCACCCCTCCCTCTGGGGCCTACGCTCCTAACTCTTAACTTCCACATTTAGGAGATGAGCCTTCCTTAGAGGCCAGTCTCCTTCTAAAATGTACTTTATTTTTTCTCAAAATAAAATAAAATAAAATAAAAAATCGTCCCACCCTACAGGTGCTCAAAGGCATGGCTTTATAGCATGTATTCGGCATCCAAATAATGAGGTAGGCATTTCCTTTATTTAATCACTTAAAAAAGTATCCAGTTTTTAAATCTCCCAGGTAATGTTTTTCATTCCTAATGTTTACATTTTAAATGGATGAAATGAAGTTTACAATTCTTTAGATACGGAATTTTATCTAATCTCTCCAAGAACTCTGTTAAAGACCATCCTTTTCATGAATGTGCTGAAATGGATCTCTATTACGAAGGGCCCGAACGTCTTCGTCTCCCGATTATGCGTAAAATCGCCCGGAAGTCGGGCGTTGGCATGGTGGCTCCCTTCTTGGGCAAGCCCCCACGTGGTCCTGCTTCTTACGGTGATTTGTCGCAAACGTCTTTTGTAGATGTACACACACACAAACCACATTTGCGCTGGGCCTTTCCCATTATCCCTAAAAACATGAGTAGGTGACTGTGATTTGTGTCCATCAATAAGGCGGTATGAAGAGCGCAGCTAGTGTCCTAATGCTTCCACCATCTTTGAGCGAGACAGAGAAATCTCTCAGGTCAGACTGGGATCTCACCATAACCCCGCTGACGCGGTCCTCTGTCCCCAAGCTCCTTCACTAGAGTGCTTCACTTATGTCCGCACCCATCTTTGAGGTGGAAATGAGGACGTGACATCCCACTGAGCAGGCGAGGACACTGGGGCTCACAACTAAATGACTTCCCCAAGTCATCTGCGTTAAGGAAGAAGCCGCCGCGGGGCTCCCCGACTGCTTCGGCTCTGTGTTCCTCCTGTCCTGTTAACACGTGTGTCCTCACGCGTGCTTCTCGATATAGACTTTCTCTGACGAAAACACATTTGGGGCCATTTGGAGCTTCCTTCTCCAGTTGCTTCTGAATTTAAAGGTCATCGTACATTACGGTCGTACGTTAATGAGCAGTTTCTCCTTTGGGCTAAAATGTCTTTTCCTCTTTAGCAACTTTGGTCACATGGAATTCAAATTTGTGAACTCACTGCATAAACAGCAACTCATTTAGAAATAAATTACGAATATTAAGGGGAAATAGAGAACACGATAATATACAATATATTGAAATACATCAGCTGTAGAATAATGCATCTTAATGAAGGCTTCCCATGTGAATAAACCATTATATTTACAAGCTTTCTACAGCTAATGACCCGGAACTAGATAACGAAACCTACGTCTACGGCGAGGTCCTCTGTCAGCAAAAATATACATATTAATAATTGATGTTGCTGTAAAAACAGGACATAAGATGATGCTTCCCGGGTTTGTGGGGAAATAGGACTCTGTGGTCCATTAACTTAAAATGCTTATCTAATGTTTCATGGGCTTTGTCTTTAAAAATCCATGTTCAAATTAGTGAGATAAAATGGGCATTTGTCCACATGGAAATCTGTTCAATTTATCAGTCACAAATACACTTGCAAATAAGTGATTTAACGAGGGTGACTTTGTCGTCCTCGTGGGGGGTTCGGTTTCTTCGCCGTGCGTGGCTGTCCCTGAAGGCGAAGCCAGCAGCGAGGGGGAGGCGAGCATCTAATGACCACCCTGTGGGGTCCCTTGCCGTCCTCGGTGGCAGAGATTAATTAGCCCCGGCCGCCCCCCGAAGGCAGCGCGTGCATCGGGAGGCCGTCACCCTCAGCTCGTCCGGCCACGTCACCTGCCTCGCTGATCCTGCCCATGAAATGAATGCCCCACGTTGTGGGTGAACTGCCCCTGAGTGAGTCCATTTTAAGATCGTGTGTGTGTTAGTTTATGAGAGCAAGCCATTTTGTTTCATCATTTCATTTCAGAGTGATATATCTGCATTTATAGATCTGTGTTTATCCAAATCCACCTCCTCATAAAGACGAAGCCAGCAGAAGTGGAGGAAAGATCGTGTGGAGACTCAGAGCCGGTGTTCTGTCTACACTCACAAATCTTTATTTTAGGATGCCACAGTTTTAGTGGGTGAAAAGCCACTAAAGAACACCAAATTTTCAACTCCATTCAGACTAATTTCTAAAAATATTTCAGTGGTTTTAAAATGTGCTTAATTGGAACAGGGGCTGGAACAGAGTCTCGTTGAGCTTATAATTGATTAGCGGTGGAAGCTTAGCCTGCTACTTGTGTGTCCTTTCTTTGAAAATACTTTAAAATAAGCCCTTCGATGGCACTTCCAGTTTGCGAGGCACTATTTCAAGTGGTTTAC